TCTCTGCTGCCTGCACTGAGCACAGCCCGATGCCTGGGGGAGCCACCCCTGGCCCCCTCCTCACAGCAGAGGCCTGGGCTGGGCCGGGAGAGGGGGAGAGAGGTCTCTGAGACGGTCACTGAGTCTCCTGTGGTTCCCTTTCCAGGGTTTGCCAGGAGAGATCGGCTTCCCTGGAAAACCTGGGCACCCCGGGCCGGCGGTAAGGCCCCCCCTCCCCTGTCCCCTCTGTGTCAGGGCTGCTCTGGAGCTGGGCTGCCCCGGGACCTTCCCTCCCAGCAGCGGCCCCACAGTGCTCGGCCGACTCCTTCCTGCTGTGGCGCCTCCATGTGCTGTCCCCTGGGCCTGCCCCCCACGGCCCCGGTGGAGAACGGAGGGGCACCCTCTCCTCAGCCCCCCTCCCCTGCTCCCATTACCTAAAGGCAAATCCCATAGTCCTTGGCTGTTTAAAGTGTGCCTGTCGCTGAGGGACGCCTGCAGAGGGCACAGGAGTGATGGGCGGAGGGAGGAGAAATGGCCCATCCAGGACCTGCTCCTCCTCCTCCTCCTGACGCTTCCAGCTCCGGGACGGAGGGGGGGAGGGGGAATCTGGGGCCCCTTCATTTCTTTCCAGTCCCGAGGCCGGACCTCAGCAGGTGTGTGTGCGCCTTGTGGGTGGGTGAGCGAGGAGGGCGCGCCTGCCGCCCGATGGCCTGGAGCACTCCGGGCGGGATGGCAGGTGTGGCCTGTGGGCTGTCACCTGTGGCGTGACGTGAGCCCTCCTAGACCTGACGGTGGCCCTCAGGGAGGCCGGCTCCACGTGACGGGCTTTCCTGACAGCTTGTTCTCTCTGGTGGGGCCCTGGGTGGGAGGCCAGGCAGGCACTGGGAACCAGCCAGTCCAGGGCACCCGATCCTCTCCGTGAGGACGAGGGTGTAGGAGGACCAGCCCGCAGACCAGCAGCCTCGCTGCGGAGGCCCCAGCTGTGCAGGCAGCTCCCCCTGCAGACTGCCCAGCACGGAGTTCCCTCACGGCTCACTTCCTGTCTCCCTCTCGGCGCAGGGGCCGCCTGGGAAGGATGGGCTGCCCGGACCCCCAGGCCTGCCAGGGCCCAAGGTAGGTATTCTTGGGGCGGCATGGGCTTGGGAGCCCCAGACAGCAGAGAGGAGATGAAGGGCACCCACCATTCCTGGTTGTTGGGGTTCCCCGTCAGGTGACTGCCGAGCCCGGAGGGGCTCAGGGGCGTGGGTTTTCCAGGTCAGGTGTGGGCAAGTCCTTCACTTCCCTGAGGGGACCAGGGAGGGCTCGGAGCGTGTGGCTTTACCACTCGTGTTAGAAATCCGTGTTTATTTTATTGGCCAGGAGGACAGACCTCAGAGACTCTCACATAATAAGAGACCAGTTTTAAACTGTGCTGGTGGGAATGATTATAGTAGGAACATTGAGAAAAGAATCAGGTTAAACATTGTAAAAGTTGGGAAGCAAAGTCACAGTTTGCAAACTGCGAGTGAACAGCTACAAACCCTGCAACTCGTGTTCACAGAAAGCGCTTCACTCTCCGAGCACACACAGCCTAGCTTCCAGGTAGCAGTCCTTACGGGCAGCGTGTGCGTGTCGTGGGAAAGCTCACCATTGTCATAAGCAGACTCAGAAGCTCAGTGTTTAATGACCAAATGAGCACGGATTTAACTCAGTGTCACAGGCATTTATTTAATGTGAGCATTCTCCACCTTCTCTCTCACATTTTAAGCCGGAAGTAAGGCTCACCAGGAACTCTGTGCTCTGACACAGGCTGTAACATCTTCCTTATAAACCTCCAGGGAGAGAAGGGCACCGTTCCTGCTCAGCTTTCTCTCTATATAAAAGCCAAGTGATCGGAATGACTGGTCACACTGTGGCTGGCCATCCGGGCCCGATGGGGGCGGAGCTGGCCAGCTGAGGCCCCTCCCCCCGGCCGGCTGGCCCCATGGGGTGGGCTGGCCAGACCCCACCTGTGCACGAATTTGTGCACCAGACCTCTAGAGTTTTATAAAATATGTCAAAGGTGGAGGCAGGTCCTGTGGGAGCCAGGAGGTGGGATGAGCTGCTGCTGTTGGTAGCGGGTCAAGCGGTCACACAGAGTGGCAGCGAACCTACCTGAGCAGGGGCCTCTCCTCACCCACCTGGACCCCTGTGCCTGCCCCCTTTGCCTGTCTGTCCCCTCCCCCTCCCCTGTGCCTGCCCCCTGTGCCTGTCCGTCCCCTCTCCTCCCCCTTGCCTGCCTGCCCACCCGTGAACCTGACTCGGCTCTCCTTGCAGGGACAGCCCGGAGACCGCGGGGTGGATGGCCTGCCTGGGAAGCCGGGCCTGCGGGTATGACTCTCCTGCTTTGTGGTTCTCGGGGTGTGGGGGGGGGTGGGTGTGAACCTCTCCTGACGGAGCAGCGTCGGTTCAGCTGGGGTCTGGCGGGAAACAGCGGGATCAACGGGAAGAGGCTGCAGCTGGGATGACGACAGCGCCTCTGGGACGGAGGAGCAAGAGGACCCTGTGGCTGGGGCCCCTCCCTCTGGATCCCTGCCCCCTGCCCTGGACCCTGCTGTCGCTCCACTGCTCCGAGGCTGGCCGACCCTTGCAATGAGAGAGAGAGAGTGTGTGTGTGTGTGTGAGGTGTATGTGGTGTGTATGGTGTGTGTGTGGTGTGTATGGTGTGTGTATGTGGTGTGTATGTGGTGTATGTGTGGTATGTGAGTGGTATGTGTATGTGGTGTGTATGTGGGGTATGTGTGGTGTGTGTATGGTGTGTGTGTGGTATATATGTGGGGTATGTGTGGTGTGTGTATGTGGTATGTATGGTGTGTGTGTGTGTGATGTGTATGTGGTTTGTGTGTATGATATGTATGTGGGACATGTGTGGTGTGTGTGTGGTGTGTGTATGTGGTGTGTATGTGGGACCTGTGTGGTGTGTGTGTGGTGTGTGTGGGGGGAGCCTGTGCGCAGACAGGAGACTGCTCCCCTCTCTGCTGAGCAAGGGCAGCTCCCACAGCGAAGGTGTGGCCCTCCTGGCAGATTTGAAGTGGCACTTTGAGTGGCAGGTGCTGACACGGTTCCGCTTGGAGCAGCTCTGGCTAATGGTGCTTGTAGACCCTGGGGACCGGCGGGAGTTGGAGTGCGTCTCGTGCTTCCGCGTTGCCGCCCCCAAGCTGCAGGGTCCTCAGACCTAACGCTCAGTCACCTTTCCTCTCCCTCCTCTCTGGGGGGGGGGGGGGGCGGCCCCCCCCCCCA